AGCAACTATGCAGTGAGGAATATAAAATATTTTAGAATGAAGAAAAGAATACATTTATTACTGAATCATGCATGTTAGGATAGCTAACACTGTATTTTTGTTGTAAAGTAAAACATTATTTTTATACCCACAACAAAACATGGACCTGCAGAACTTTTCAAGCAATCTTCTAACAGCTTCATACGAGTCTGTTGCAGCTCAGGACTGTCCCACTCGTCTGCTTCCACTCCCCAGTATAAGTCTATGACCTGGAAAAAAGTATGCAACACGGTCACTTTATCATGTGCCCTTTCTACCTACCAAATTAAAATTTTATTTTTGTCATCATTCTGTGTACCGCTAAGCACTGGTCTGCACTGCAGTGAAAGGCAATGAGGTCTATATCCAGTCCTCACACAGACTGGCAGGGTTTCCTTAGGTAAATGACAATTCAAGCTTCTTATTTTCCCTCCTGGGACAGTCTCTCACTTAATATTTTTTTTCAGAGATCAGCAGGACAAGATCTTGATCTGATTTAGTCTTTATTTGCTACTAGATTGCATATAATAAATAGGTAAGAATAATGACAAAAGCATTGATAAAATCCTGGCTCTGGAAATTAACGGGAGTTTTGCTGTGCATCACAGTGAAGACCATGACATGACACCCCGTGTCACTTGTATCCACAGGATATAAACTCATCCTGTGCACAAGGCTCAAAAGAAAGAATGCATGCGGTTCTGCAATATCGTACTCCCTTTGTTAGCTGGTCTTTGTTACTTTGGAAGCAGGAATTGTATAGATACGCAGTGGAAGACAGCTTGCTGTTCAGGCTTTCATCCGTAGCTACAGACTGAGTTTTCTGATGGTAATTAGCTGCAAAAAGCCTCCTGGTAGAAACTGGAATATGGATGTTAAACTTATTTGAAGACAAGTGACAAAGTGTGATTTCACTACACATTTTAACTAAAAGGCTGAATTCTTACTGTGGGGAATTAAAAAGAATAGGGATCATACGTATGTATTTATTTTGGAATAAAAATTATGGTACATGCTATTACTCTCTCTCATTTAAGCTACTATTGATCGTTAACATCATGTATAACTTGAACAAATGAATAGTTAAAAAAACCCACAAAACTGTATTAAGATATGATTCAGACATTACAATATTGTTTATTTGTAGTATTATTTGTACTGTGGAAGCACTCTGCTGTTTCCACAAGAAACAGAAAACAAGCAGCTGTCTAAACAGATCACAAATTCAGCCTGAAGACCTAATATAAGTACTAATAATGGGTTGATGTAAAAGTAAAATTCACCAGTTTACAGCTGGTTAATTTCCTTGGGAAATTTCTCATAACAATAAATGTCAAGGTTTAAAACCTAATCCTAGAAGTATTTATGCCCATGTTAAATTTCACTACCAACAGACTCATTGGTTATTTATGCCAGTAAAGTTTAGGATGTGCGTCAGTGTTTTCTGGAGTAAGCACACTGTTGCCAAACATGAAAGCTAAGGTACTGTCTGACTGATGATGAGTGAAATACCCCAGTGTAGAGAAGGCATTGTAGCTTACACTGCCAAGAAAATACACTTAGTATCTTTTTTTTTCCCCAACAAGCAGCTTCTGCTTTACAAAACTGCATCTCAAACAGCCTTCTTATTTCCCCCATTTGCACTGATTTCTTCGCTTTTAGTCTCATTAGGAAAAAAGTGTTCCCTTCTTCCTCTCTCCCTTCTGTTATTTATTTATACAGCTTCATTATCGAACTTCACATTGTATTCAGCTGTCTGATTACTTGAATGATGTATGATAGAGCTTAATTATTCTAGTCATAAAATTAGAGCATCTTAGCACACAGTCAAAAACATGTGAAATTACTGGTCGAATGAATTTATTGTGATGCTCAAGTTCATCTGAAACACAAAAGCAATTTCTATTTTAATTAACTGTTCAGAAATCACGTTAATTCTGTAAATGTGAAGAGGAATTTCTCTGGAATAGCAGACATCGTTGAGGTTCAGTGGCTGCCTTTGGTGGGTTACAGTGTGATAGGTTATTTTTATGGGGTAACACAATTTTGGCAGATACTATCTTATTGTGTTATAATTTTGTCCTGCAAGAGGATATGTCTTAGCCATCAAACTTCTGAAGACACCAAGAATTTCAAAATGAGGGGTTTATCAATTATTCTTTATGCTAACTGAAATAGATAGGATTTACCAAATTAATGGAACAAGAAGACAACTGTATCTGATGTGGAAGTACATTTTTACTTATACTTGGAAAAAACATGTGACAAACACCCACTCTAACTTTCAGTAAGGCTGCCAAGGTGAGATGACAACCAGTGCTCTGTGTGAGAGCAACTTACAAACAGCCGACTGACACTGGTCTAGTTCAGCTCCACACTAGTCACCTAGCAGGGAATTTTCCTTCAGAATTCGGTGTTTCCTTTTATTTATTTTAGCTTTTGTCCTACCAAATTTACAGTTTCACATTTTTTTCTAAGGAAATGAAATAATTTTATCTCTATCACTTCCAAGCGCTTAAAAAAAAACCCAAAAATTTCATTCATACAAAATTCCACTTTCCACATGGTGAAAATGATTTGAAAGGGTTTATTATTCCCAAGAAGAAAAGCGGATGCTGATAATTAACCATGGTTAGTGTTGTGGTTTAGCCAAAAACCAGTACAGTTACTTATCCTCCAAAAATTTTCTGTCATCACAACTGCTTTCTTTAACCTCTCTGTCCTCCCCTAAAAAAATGCTGTATTTCAGGTACAAAACACCATGCACTCCAGAAGTCTTTTTCTCAGCTTACTTGCTTTCTGTCTTCACCAATACCTGTTTTTCAGAAATATTTTCTGACTCAGTGGAAAAGGAAGCCCACCGAGCAAACAAATTCACGGAGTGATTGAATATATTCAGTTCTGCTTCCCCACACATGATGGTTATGTTCCCTAACAGCTCCCACCACCTTGAGGACACCTGACAGATCTCGTGCTTTGCAACAACTGAAACACTTATCAGTGCAGCCAGATGACTCAGTGGGAGCTGGAGCGATGAATACACTCAAACGCATTTCATTTGGGTCAGGATTTATCAGGAAGAGGGTGTATTCAGGACACCCTGTATGGTAGTCATTTGTGGTAGTCACAGGCAAGGTAGTTCCTGTTTGGTCAGTAGAAGATTACATATCAGGATGAAAAGTTGTGTGTTCTGCTCTACACAGGGTAATATAAATTTATGCCTTGATCTGAAAAGTATGTAATACTTTTCTTGACACCCTGGCACTAAAAACTGGAGTCTTGGTTTTCTGTGCTATCCCAAGAAACTCAGTGTATCAGGAATGGAAAAGGCAAAAAAAAAAAAAAAAGTTTTGATACAGTCTACCTCAGCCTCCTCCAAAATGCTGTACTACTTTCCCTTGGTAACTTTTTGTACGAGTTTTTCTACTTTGCTTCCGCCGTCATGTGACAGCTTTCTGCCTGTGTTCAAAAATGAGTCAGTGGAGCTGTGTCAGACCTCATATCACACAAGGATGCTCCTGGTGTTGAAACTCTGTAATCAAATAATTTGCTCCCATGAATATCAACTAGAATAAACTTAATTATTCCTCCCCTAGAGAGTACATTACAATCCATTTGAAGACAGACGTGTTTTCTCTCACAAAGAATTCAGAGGATTATGATCTACTTGGAGGAGACGTTTCCCTCCTGTCCCTGAGATGGCTCCTCAAAGATGACTGAGAAGTAAGAGTTTCTATTTTCCATTAATATCACATGGTAGTAACAGGAGGAAAATGCTTTATTATTTACATATCTTTTGCTATTCCTTCCGTGTACCACGGCAGCTGGGACTTCCCAATCAGCTGATGAGCTAGGACCTTCAGATGAAATTCTTTTATAGCCATAATCAAAAATCACTCTGGAATTACCACCATGCAGATTCAGCAACTCCACTGTGACTCAGGGAATTAAAAGCAAATATCCTAATTTAAGAACTTGTTATTTTGATTAAAAACCAGCTGCATGTGCATCAAGAGTAATACATTGGGAGGAGCAGGATGTTGTCTAAAAGGCATTAGCTGTTTCCAAGTAAAGTACATCCGGAGAGCTGAGTTTCTGGGGTCACTAAGATGTGAGGTTAATACCAGTATGTGAGGAAGGCTTGAGGATGTAGAACCAGATTTTTTGAAACACTGAACGACATTTTTACAGCATCACATGCCGTACTTATTTCTCTTAGCAGAGATCCAGTTCCAGGCCTGCTGAAATACATAGGACTTTACTGGACTGTGAATTAGGATATACCTGACTTAAAAGTACCAGTGACTTCAACCGTGATGCCAAACTCCACAGTATGTAATCTCAATACAAGTGTTCCACATTCAACTAATTTTGTTAATCAGTTTCAATATTCACCTAGTTAAATTATTTTCCACATTACAGTGGAAGACAAACCGGTAGTTAGAGTAGATGTGATGTAACAATTATGTGAATATACAGATGGTGCTACTTCAATGACAATTACACAAAATTAAAAATAGGTTGCATTAATTTAAGTATGGTTTCTATAACACAGTAATTCAGAAGTAATATTATTTCTTCTTAGATACTTTCAGTATCTAAAATTGAGGTGGTTTCATTAAGTTTCTAATGTGAAAGTTGTCAGTTTGTTGCCATATTGCTTTTACCACTAGTGCAATGTTGCATTGTAAAACCCTGTGGTTTTTTCATCTATTCAGAATTCGCCTCAAATCTGCCTGTAAAATAATTTAAGTACATCAATTCAGTACAATTAACAAGTGAAATACATTTGCAATTTTCTGTTTTTCCAATGATATGACAAAAATTACAGTACTTTAAAATGTTGTCTGTTCTAAACAGTATTAGTTTCAAGAAAGTAATGCAAGATTCAACACAACAAAATCTACCTGAAATTCCAGCCCGTAGTTTTCCCTGCAGAATTCTCTCAGCTTAGGATACACATGTTCTCTTAGGGCGCTCCTTTCTGCTATTGTATCTGTTGGGGAAAAAGATGTTACTAACAGTACTTATATGAACTCTCTTCTTTTAGTCAGAGATATTTCTCACATAAAAAAGATCCCTTACAATGCACACACACAAACCTAATCAAAATCAAGCGCTGGGATTTAATCTCTAAACTGTATGTTGCGCCTTGTGACGTTTCACATAAATGTGTGTGTATGTGCAAACGTGAGGCTTCACACACATCTTAATACTGCAGCGTATTTGGATAACACACTGCTGAACTCATTTTGTAATTCAGCAGTCAGAATTTATCAGTTTGACCTCTGGTTAGTTTTCAGGAAGCTGAATTTTACTAATTAAAAACACCATGGAACAAAGAGCTATACCACAGATGAAATAGATCTCTACACTTCAAAATAACTCAATAACATGAATTAATGGCATTGTGTCAAACACTATCACTTCCTTCACCATCTTTAATCCGATAATATCTAAAAAGGAAGAAAGCTGTTAATAGCATTAATTATGGTATCTTTTGGTCCAGGTGATTGCTGCTATCACATTAAATGTGCAGTTCTGACATCATGTTATTCTCACCATGCAAAATAACGTGTTTTGATAACAAAGTACAATATGGCAATGACACCAAAATCATTAAGTTCTGTTCATCTGAGTTAATCTGAACACATTTATATACAATGTATCACTCAAGAAACAAACTGTCAAAATCGAAGTAAATTTGGTTAGTAATGAAATCTTGTATAGATAATACATTTTATTGTCTCTCCCAATAAGACTAAAATAGGGGATGGATTTTGGTAGGTCTAGATTGTGACCAGTGTTGTTATTTATAACTGTTGTAAACCACTAGATCTGAGTGCCATATGATGAAAAATAAAAGTGGTCACTTACTAATGAATGAGAACAACTATTGCAGGTAAAGCAGTATTTGTGTAACTGCACTGAAACAAAACAATAGGTTAAAACTGAATTAACAATCCCCATATTGTTGTAAACCAGAGATAGTGTGCAAATCTGACAATGCTTTGTTAATCAGGGCCGCAGCTGATACATTTAGGTCCAGAGGTCTGTTCATAGAATCATGGTCACAGATTCATAATATTTTTTATTTTGACAATTCTAGGAGAGTGTGAAATCCATAATTTAATTAATTACACCAAATTCTTAATATCCTTCCTATTATTTAAACACAACTTAATTGTATTTTGGCATAATTACCATTTATCTTCATAAACAAAGAAATCCAGAACACCCCCAGAGAATTATTTCTTGAGAAATCTTCATCAAGGTAAAAAGGCTATACCACAAAGGCTCAAAGAGTACAGCCATGAGAATCCCATTTATCTGACTTAACCACAGTTCTTCCTTCACAAACTTTTGATGGGGAAAAAAGTCAAAGGTGTAGTAGTTTTCATAAAACATCCTTTCTAAGTGCAACAATATTATATATTTATGATTTCATGGTTTGCTAACTATGCTAATGTGTTCTGAAGACAAAGAATGGTTCAGAAGCATTAGTCAAGTCCTTGCTCCATCACAAGCTTTCTATTTGACTGTGGGCACACCACTCAAGGAGAGATCCTAAATCTGCAGTGCACAGCTTTTATATACCCAATTTGAACACTGCAAATAAGACATTTACATTCGGAGGCATGTGGCCTCACTCACTCTCTCCTCACTTCCCTCTCGGGAAGTTACTACCCTTCCTTTTGCTGGCGCTGAAGAGGCTGCACCAGGAGTGCTGTGCCCAGCTCTGGGCACCCCACACCAGGAGAAGGATGGGGTGGCAACTGGAGAGGCTACTGAGATGGTCAGGGGCCAAAAGCACATGGCCTGCAAAGGAAGATTGAGGGACCTGAACTTGTTTCGTCTGGTGAAGGCTGTAAGAGGGACCTACACGCAGTCTACAACCACTTCTAAGGCAGTTACAAAGATGATGGGGCCAAGCAATTTGTGGTGGTGTCAGACAGTACAACAGAGGTAACGACAACATACAGCAGCTTGGGAAATTGAGGCTGAACATTAGCAGAAGCTCCCCTGTCCCCGGAGCTCTTCAAGACTCGACTAGCCATGTTCATGGTTGACCAAGTTACTGTAGGCAGCACCTGTGGAGGGAGGTTAGCCCAGATGACCTCCTGAGTCCTCCCTGCAGGCAGCAGTGAGCCTGTCTCTCAGAAGAACCTGGAGGTTTGTCTCAGTCATCCAGGCGCCTCGTACAGGGCCTGGGGAGAGTTCTGCGACTGTGTGGGACCAGCAGGAGCAGAACTGCAGAGTAAAATAGCTGGTGCCAAGGACCCAATATCCGTGCCATATATATTTCAGGAAATTTCGTTCTGGATTGGGCTTAACGCGCACAAACACTCGGAGTGCATTAGACAAGATCCTGGAGTTCTATTCCTGTTTTTCATTCAAAAGGAACCCGGTTCAGGTACACCAAAATCTCTCAATGATGTGAGTACATTAGAGTGACGATCAAGAGATTCACCTCAGAAATGTACTCCAGATCTGGATGAATACAGATGCATCCTACAAATATTTAGGAATGGCATGCAAAAACCAGTGCTCGCAGCCCTGAGCTGCCTGAGTTAGTACATAATGAAAAGAGTGACAGATGGGTTGCTCCCTCCTTAGGATCCACAGTCACTACTTTTCTCTCACACTTTAGTGCCTAGGTCAAACTTTTGTTGCAGAATGTAGTTCTCAGATAAGTATGTTCATCAGCCTGAGGGTTGCACTGTGCCAACGCAGCTAAAATACTACTATTTTGTCTCCAAAACAACTTTTCTGAGTGCTAGCTTGGAGTCACTGCACTGCACAGTGTTGCTGTACCTTCTGATAAACGCTACCTGAGTACTTTGCTTCATTTGAAACACTTCACTTCTTTTTTCTTTACCTTCACAGTCAGTGAGGCCCTTAGGTAAGTCTTTAACACAAGACCGTATGTTCTATATTATTTGCCTTAACACAGGTTAACTTTGGCATGCAGGTCTACCACAACACCGAGCATCACATCTTCATAACAGAATAAACTCTGATGAAAACAAATGTACCACTCGGTTGCTGAGCTAAAACAAAATGATTTTTACCTCTCTAAACTTAAATTAATCATGACTACAGCTTTGTGCTGGAGGAAGCAACTATTCACAGGTACAGTTTGCAATTACTTAGATGTTCGGTATGACAGCAGACAGAACAGTCTTACTAGGGAACTAAAATAGGGTAAGTTGCAGGAACAACAAAAAAATAAATTATTGGAAAAGAGTAGAAATTAAGAGTAAATGTGATATAATGATAAACGGGGAATATATTGCCTGAGGCATACAACAGACAAGACCATATTCTGCTGCTTTCCATTTGTGCCCATAGGACCTACCCTGCAGAACGCCACTGGCTCTGGTTTAGAACACGGTGCTGTTCCCTGCAGCGTGCCTCGTAGTCTCGTTCAGAAAATGGAACAACACACTGCAAGAGTGGTGCTACATTTCTAATACTTTATAAATGAAATATAAAGACATAAAGCGTTCCTTCAACTAGAACTGCGTTCTGGATAAGGCACTCGGCATATCCATCACGTGTGTTTGGTCTTACCTCCTAAATCTAATGGAATGTGCTTACCTAATTGGAATTTGAGTCTGGTGCTTATTTTAATGATTTTTAAGAATAACTTTATTTGTAAGAAGTTGTGAAACTTTAAGGAAAGAGACGCGCATGTAGTTAAGATGAACTCCAGTAATTAGTATGGATGGCAGATAAGCTGGTTTAATGAAATAAAATCTAACCTGATTCAGTGACAGCAAATCTGTGAAGCTGGCGGTTACTCACAACAAAAATGTCACACAGGCAAATTCCACTTTCCAGGCTGCTGCTGCAGATGAACAGATTAACTAAATTACATTGTTCTAGCAGCCAAAATGAGACAGTAGCTGTGAGATGAGCTTTATACACCTCCTAATGTTAATTCCGACACTCTGAAATCCAAATGATAGTCCACAATAAACTGTGGGAATGAAACGACACCTGCAAAAACGTTAAAGCAAGACTTAAAAAACCCCCAACCCTGAATTCATCTCCAATATTTAAATCAAACCAAGAAACAACCCTGTCTTGAGACAGTGACTTGCTGAATGCACATCTTCCCTACAAGTGCTAACTCTTGCAGATGGTTGTCTCCTAAGGCAGTCCATAGCCACACTGTCCTGCCCACCCCTACACCTGGAGCTGACTGAGAACACCATCACAGCCTGCCCTCCCTCCGTGCATCCCCAGCGCAATGTTGAGGACTGAACGGAATTAGCCACATACGCATTTACGGCCTTTCTGCCAAATAATGGGCACTTGCTGTTTAAACATGACTGTTTGTGTGAGGTGTGATTTCTGAAGGCTTGTAGCTCAGTCAAATCCCTGCCAGTTTTCATTAGAGTACTCTAAGGTGCTGTTTCTCAGCGTGAACTATTTCCATGCCAAAGTCTGACCTTCAAACACAAGCTGTTCTGCTATTAGAAGTTGCTTATTTTATTTTCAATAGGGAAAGTACATCTTACATTCTAGTGTTAGTAAACAGATTATGTGTATTTACAAACAGTTGCCAAACATTAATCTCTGGGATAAAAGTAATCATGGAAAATAGCCTAGTTGAAGAAAATTTCAAAACATATATGCACCCGAACAGAAAGAGTTAACACGGAAGCCCGATGGAAATCGCCCATTTTCAAGCACCAGTTATTCTGCCCTAAGACCAGACAGTTGCTCTTCTTGCTGGTGGTCATACTGGTCTGTGGGATCAGTACAGTGATGTACATAACAGTACTCCCCATGGCAGGGGGGTTCCCTGCCCATGGCAGGGGGCTTGGAACTAGATGGTCTTTAAGGTCCCTTCCAATCCAAACCATTCCATGATTCTGTGATTCCCACAGCGATGGGAATGGCTGTGTCACGCTCATGGGCTGTGGTCACACAACGACTCTTATTCAACCAAGGCTCGATGCAGCTGAATGAGAAGGTTGCTCAGCTCCATCCTGCTGTCGTGTGTTG